ATCAGACCCCTCCACACACGACAGCCAACCTACCCATACCGACCTGTACGCCTTCCACGTAGCCGCCGACAACGATTCCGACACCAAGGACATCAGCCCTCCGAAACCAGGTCCCATAAGTATGCCGGGCAGCAAAGACCCTCCTGATCTGCTTCCGGGGCCGACTCCCGAAAACGGTCCCACTGAAACCGAGAAAGAGAGTCAGCCACCACATTCAAAACCCCTGGAACATGCCGAGCCTGCAACCACACATTAAACTGTAAGCTCAGCAGCACTAGGTGACGCAAGAGAGCCAGCACTGGAGGAGATGCAGACGATGATCGGTTAATCACATGGACCACACTCATGTTATCCGTGTGAAAAACCACCACCCGGTTCCGCAATTCGTCCCCCCACAGTGCTAGCGCCACCACTATGGGGAACAGCTCCAAGAACGTAAGGTTCTGCATCAACTCCAGCTCATGCCATGCCGCCGGCCAAGCAGCAGCACACCACTTGCCCTGAAAGTAAGCCCCACACCCTACCGATCCCGATGCATCCGTATACAGTTCGAGTTTGGCATTGGGAACCGCTTCCCGCAACCAGCACGATCGGCCATTATACCTACCCAGGAAGACGCTCCATACCTGCAAGTCAGCCCTAAGTTTGGCCGACACCCGAATAAAATGGTGAGCCTCCCTGATACCAACCGTCGCCAATGACAAGCGCCGGCAAAAGGCCCGACCCATGGGCAAGACTCTGCAAGCAAAGGCTAGGTGACCCAGCAGTACTTGCAACGTGCGCGACTGTACCTTCCGAGCCGATTTTACCAAGTCAATCTTCTTGAGCAGGACCATTAGCTTTTCGTCCGGTAAGCGAAAAACCATGTCCACGGTGTCAATCTCGATGCCCAAAAACGACAGCCTAGTGGCTGGCCCCTCCGTCTTCTGCTCCGCCACTGGCACGCCAAACCACGCGGACACTGCGCGGAAGGCCGACAACAACCGAGAACATCCGTCACCCTCCCGAGGACTCACAAACAAGAAGTCGTCGAGATCCAAACCCGAATACTGAACCACAGACCATTCCAAAAGCGAGGAAAACATTTCAAAATAAGAACACGATATCGAACAACCCATGGGAAGGCACATGTCGTAGAAAAACGACCCCTGGAATTGACAACCCAGCAGGTGATAACATTCTGGGTGAACCGGCAATAACCGAAAGGCCGATTCGATGTCTGATTTAGCCAGGAGTGCCCCCAACCCTGCTTCCCTAACCAATGACAGGGCCCTGTCAAACGAAGCATAATGCACCCTGCTGAATTCCTTATCGATATCATCGTTCACCGACCTCCCAGCCGGGTAGGACAGGTGATGAATCAACCGAAAGGAGCCAGGCTCCTTTTTAGGTACCAGCCCCAAGGGCGATACCCGCAAGTTGGGAAATGGGGGGTAAGAAAACGGCCCCGCCATGCGCCCCAATGACAATTCTTTTCCCAACTTGGCACCCAAAACTTCCTCCTTACCTTACCCTTGACCGACCGAAGATTATCTGCAAACCGTGGCTCCGCCGAGAAGACAAAGGGGATCCAGAATCCGACTGAAAACCCTTCCTCCAACACCGCGGCATCGCAGCGTTTAGGGTAGGCCTCGAGCCATGGCAACATCCTTGCCACGCTCACTGGTGTCCTCCCCTTTGGAACCATCCTCTCGTGACCCTGCCTTGGGAATGGACTGCCTTGCCTTCTTGAAGCATCGCATGGCGGGGTGAGCCCCCCGCAATGCGAGCACTCGTGCTTGAACCTACAGGAGGAGTACCACCTGCAGTGGCTCTCATTGAAGAGCCTGCACACTCCCTTTTTCTGCCCAGCCGGCGCACCGGAGGAAGCTCTGGCGCCGGCTGCCCCTGGAAAGGACGCCGGACGACTAGGCGTCATGAGTAACAGCCACAGGCTGCCATCCTGCGTGCCGAAGTCCAATCCAGGACACGCCGCCATCTTCTGCCGGAACTGCTGGTCGTAACGGAACCAGCTCTGCCCGCCATACACCTTATACGCACCCCAAATCAGATCCAAGTATCCGAACAGCGGCTGCGCCCTATCCGGGAACCGACGGGTCAGAATACTTGCGAAAACCGCGAAACCCTGTAACCAATTCCCAAACGTTCATGGGATTTGCTTACCCTTCTCAGGGTCCTGTGGCTCGCCACGACATGGTCGATCCACAGAATTCCTGTCCGGGGAAACTAGGGACAAAAAGTCCACAAATTCCCCTTTAATAATCTTATCCCGTGTCTCCCCTGGGACATGCATGCCCAAGGGGGATAGTTCACAACCTGGTAGAGAGGGACGGAACCCCCCCCCCCACCTGAGCCCTACTGGCTGGAGCCTCCTCCAGCACCCTGCGCACATCCCCTGATTGGCTATGCGCAGCTGGCAACCTATCTACTACTGCCCTGAGCAAGCGCAACAATTCCCTATCCGCAGCCTGCTCCTGCCCTAGCGCACCCTGTCCCCCAGCTAGGCTACCCCAAGCGCTAGCGCAAGCCAACTCACCGCTTAGTGGAGCTGCCACGGCAGCCTGCTCAGGTTGGCGAGGTCTGGGAGCCGTCCTATGGTCCAACTCTTCCTCCTCTGATCCGGATTCCGAGTCCTCCTGCAGCCTCCTCTGGGTGCTGTCCCATGTTGGACTCCTGTCCGGCAGCCCCCGAGTTCTGGGCTCTCCTTGCTGCAGGGCATCCGCCCCCAGCCTTCTCCTGGGCTGTACAGCCCTCCGATCCCGATCTTGGGCGCCCCCACGGCTCCCCTGGGGCTCCAGCGCCGCATTTCCGTGCACTTCCGGGTTCTCCAGTGGGGCCTGTGACGTCCGCACTGTGCGCCGTGCGTCCGTCACGTACGCGCCCCTTGTGACGTCCGGCGTCTCCACGCACCGCCCGGACGTCAGACGTCAATGCGTCACTTTCTGCCGGACCGGAAGAGAAGGAGGACTGCGCGAGCGCTCTTCCCGTGCTCCGCCATCTTGGGCCCGCCTCACCGCAGCTCTCACCACCCGCGGCTGCCTCCTGGAAGCCCGGGATCCGCCATCACCGCCTCCATGCTCCGGTGCCAGCTGGTCCCGGCCTCCGATCCCCCTCCTCTACACACCAGACTGGGGGAAAGGCCTAGAACGCCTCGGCCTCCTCCTGCGGGCCAGAGAAGGGGTCTCCGCCACCGGCTGCTCCACTTCCATCCGGGCCTGGGGAAGGTCGGCCATCAGCTCTGCCAGAGAACCGGATCCATTGGAAGCCAGGTAGGCCTGCAGCACCCCCAGCAAAGCCTCCCTTGACAAATCAGCCATCTTGCAGGGAAGGCCTAGCTTGCAATTAACACTGGAGTAAAGTAACTAAATGCTTTTTTTTTAACAGCAGAAAGCTAGAAGCTAAAGGGCTCTGAAACTTTGAAAACTGTTCCAGACTGCTCCTTCTGCACTGGTGAGTCCCACCCCCCTGCTCTCCCTCTTATATCCCACTATATAGGCAACATTGTATCTTTTATATTCCCACCCCTTACTGCAGGGCAGCAGTCATGCCTCCCCTTCCTTGCAGTCCAGGGGATATCTTTACACTGACACTAAACGTCAGTTTGTTGCACGGTCTTATGCCAAAAGCTTCAAAAAATATTTTTCATCACAAAAACCCCCCCAAAAACCTGCCATTAGCTGTCAGTTTGGACGCAGGACACAATGAACTACTTTTGATGGTGCATTAAGACCTGTGATGGAGAAGGAGTGGTGCGTACGGTGTACAAACCTAAGTCCAACAAACATAAAAGAAGTGCAGTTGAGCAGCACCGTACAAGGTTCGAGCTCAAATGAACCGTTATGCTATTAAAGGAACACTGTACTCACCATAACAACTTAGTCTAACTGAAGTTGTTATAGTGACTACAACATTTCCACCATGTCCTAGCCATAACTCCAAGCCCTCTAGAGAGGATTGTCAGGATGGTCCCTGCCCAACCTTAGTTTTCCTGTAACAAACTGTGATGTAGACCATTGTAAGAGCAGTGTGTAGCTCCACATGTTCAGCAGTGTCTTGCTCCCTGACACTATAAAGCTCAGTCCCTTGAATTAGCCCAGTGATTAGTAATAGATGTTCTGCTTTAATAGGTGTCCTCACTAACGTTTAGCCATATTACACCATGGGCTTACAGCCGATTGGGTGAGCGCTGTGCCACTTGGTGTCCCAGTTACTATGATAATCATTGCGTTCGGAGCTAAGGCAGACTGTCTGAGAATGAGATTTGGGGCATCTAAGTTTTAGCTTTAAAAACACTTTTGACAACCTTTTACTTTGGTAATTGTTGTTCTATATCTGATGGCCACTTGCACCAGGCACCATATCTTATATCAACCTTTGAGTGCAGGCCCCAATTGATAATAATATATACACAGCCTAGCCTCCGGCGTGCAACAAGTGTTTACACGTGTCTTGGAGTTAGAGGAGGACAAGGAGTAGGTCAATTCATAAATTAACACCCTGTCAGCATAACTGAACTCACAGAGATTTACTTATCTCCACCAAGCTTTTGAAAACGTTGATAATTGTGGATGCCACATTATACCGCATTTAACGTGTGTAACATGTCTGATTGTTTATAATATAGTGCACTTTTATTTTTGTAATTCTTTATTTTTCGTGTGGAGAAATAACAAACACATGTGTTTGGCCACAACAGCCTCTACACGTCAAGCAGAATCAGTGCATGTTAAGTGCAAGGCATTGCTGGGTTCTGTTCGCACACATTTTGTAGTTACAATAGGTCGCATTGTTATAGTGAAGTATTTAAATCGTATAACTATAGGGGTGGAAGACTTCCATTTGCCTAAGACACCCCTGCTCCGTGAGGTCGTGGGTGAAGGGGAGAGGGCAGTTTCAGCTAAGTCTGATGGCTATGTCTAATTGACGGTCATGTTTCTTGAAGTTATGGGTGTTTGGTGTGTCTCTTGGCCCTTCTGCGTGTGGACAGGGAGTAGTTTGTGGTGATTGCGGGATCCATCCGTGGGTACCCCTTCTAGGACTAGGTCCGCTCCCTTGTTTGTTCCTGACTGTAGCTATTGATTTGCACCCATGTGTGTTGTGCTCTAGGCATCATAAGGTGTCTTTTTATCCTAGCTGTGGCTGCGCGTGGTTGGTGGTCAATGTAGCGATTATGGATTTTGATTCTAGGTGTATACAAGTCGCTGTGGTGTGACAGGATCAAGCTGTGCCGGTGTGGCGTTAGATAAGGTGGTGAGCTTGGTACAAGTCAGGGTTACTAGGTCGCCCTTGATGTCAGTTCCCTTTAACCCCAGGGAGGGGGGGTGTCGTTGGAGCAGGTGTGGTTGGCTCTAGTTGGCCTTTTTTCGCACTGTAATAACCGTTAGAGTGAGTGAGGACTATATGTAACTTAAGGAACTGTCTTAGTAACTCAGAATATTTAAACTAAAGCCTAAGAGGCTGTCTGCAGAGGCAGTTCGTTCAGGGTTTGGTTTTGGGGCCCCTGCTTATTCCAGGGGTTGCGGTTGGATCTGCGATTTTTGTCCTGGCCGATGATCTAGCTGTGCCGTCGAGGTCGCTGCAAGGTTCGATAGTCCTAGTGCAGACATCAGTGCTGGACCCTCCGTGTGGTCAGTGGCTTTGTAGTGCTTATCATCTTTAGTGATCCAGAGAGTTCCTGGGGTCGCCCATTTTTAGGCAACTCCTGCCGCTTGGAGTTGTTTGGTGATTGGGTGCATACTTTTGCGCCATACTAGTGTGGCCCTGCTCAAGTCCTGAAAAAAGGAGAGTTTGCATTCTTCGAAGTCAAAAGGGGTCTTCCCTTGTATAGCTGCCATTAGCCCCAGTTTGTCAGATATTGATTGGCATCTTAGTACTATGTCCCGTGGAGCTGAGGTGGGTGTTTGTGGGGATTTGGCTATCCTATAAACCCCATCAAACTGAAATGTTTTAGTTTGTCTTGTTGGTAGGAGTGTGGCCACAAGGCATCTAGTGAAGTGTGGCAGTTCTTCCAGCGTTACTGACTCAGGTACCCCTCGGATTTTGTTATTTTTACAGCGCCCTTTGTCATCCAGAAGGTTAACTTGCCTGGACATTGTTGCTTGTGAGACTTGTAGGTGTCGCACCTTCGCCCCCAGTTCCTGGCAGTTCTCTCTTAGTCCCTTTACCTCCTCTTCTATAGCCTGAGTGCGCATGGACACTGCGTGCACATCTAACTTAAGCACTGCCAGGTCCGCTTCCCACATTTGTCTCAGGTTCTGTTGCAGGCCTGTCAGCATTGCCTGTATGTCTTGTTTTGAGGCTGGTGTGCTGGCTTCCATGTGTGTGTGGGGTTTTGGGGACTGGGCTGTGGGCAGTCTAGTGGTTCTCCCTCCTCAGTTGGTACCGGGGATGTTTCGCGGGGGGTTTGGGCCTTCACTGTGCTTGGGGGCTATGTCGCGCTGCGGTTTTGGGGCAGTTTTTGCGTTCTGCGTCACATCTCACCTGAGCTCTGTGCGCTGGGGTACCAGTCGTGGAAGTCTGGGATATTCCGGGGTGCGTTCTCTCGTTATGGACTGAGGCTGTCCCCCCACCCTGCCGCCTTGGCGTCTATTTTTGGAGCCGGGCGTCAGGAAGAACGGCATCGGCGATCACAATGGCGTTCCCTGTGGTCTGTGGCTGAATGTGTGGCCGGGATTGGTGCGGGATGTCTCCGATGGTGCCGGGTTATAGTGGGTTACTCCGGAGCTCCGGCAATGTGCGTCCGCTCCGGTCTGTTGTCAGGCTCCGCCCCCGCAATATATATTTTTTAAAATCTGTGGCAAACCTAGCCACCAAGAGACTGAGAAAGGACTTTCGAAATTCGAATGAACTTGGATTAAAATGGCCGTATTGCTATTAGGACGGTTATCTTCAGGCAATCGGTTCACGAACTACATCCATTGTACTATTCATGAAAACGTGTAAAATACCGAATGAGGGACCACCCCAGTGTAGTCGTGTGTCCCTCATTACCGAAGGCAACAATGTTGCAAAGGCTGGTAATTGAGGTTCGTGTGCGGCCGCCATTCGCATGCCGAACACGTGGCGGCGGCCATCTTACGTCGAGTGTCTGGAACTCAAATCGGATACTCGACTAACCATGCACCGCTAAGACCTCCAGCACTCCGGAAAGTGGCGAATAAAACACACGAACGGCCCAGCATTCGGTAGGATGAATCCCGCGAACCAGGGGATTCATCCGAACGCAAAGTCAAGCATTGATGGCAAAGACTTTCAAGACTTTTTATACGTGAATTGAGACCGACCGCAGGTCCAGAACTCATGGAACTATTTTCGGCTACTGTGCCCGTGCGGTCGGTCAAATCTTTGCCCTTCAATAACTCCCGAACCCCTGGTCCGATCTGGGTGATTTTTGAGTATGTTTCTCACCCAGATCAGGGCTACCAGGGGATATCTCAAAGGTGTACCCCCCGTATTTGGGGTACATCCAAGAATTGGGGAAAAGTGTGTATATTTTAATAAGTTTAACTGTTAAACTGATCATTGAGTGCTTGGACCACAACTTTATTCAACTATTATGGTAGGGGTAGCGAACCCCAGGTCTGGTTGCACCAGGATTCTGATAGGAGTGCGGCATTGTGTCATAGGCTTTCTTGTAGGCAATCCAGGCCGTGCACAGAGTGGTCTGTCTGGTCTTAAAATCCCTTGTGGCTGCTTGGTCTACCAGTAGTTGTTGTTTTGATCCTCTGGTGTTGTTTCCAATCCCCTTCTCAGTATTGTTCATAAAGGAATTCATCAATCGTGGAGCCAATGATGCCTGACAGGAGCTTCCATGTTGTGATTGGTCGGTAGCTGGATGGTGTTGTTCTCTTGTGAGGGTCCTATATGACCAGGATTGTTCTGTCTTGTGTTAGGAGCCTGTTGCTAGTAGCAAGAGGAATCTAATGTCACTACTGGAGATACATTGGAGATATATATATATATACATACATACACACACATTATATATATATATATATATATATATATATATATATATATATATACACACACACACACACACACACACAGAGCTAAATGCATATATATTTTAGTAATATTGTATCCTATTGTAACAATACAATGTATTGTGGACACAGGACATACCTGAAAACAAGAGAAATCTCAATGTATCTTTCCTGGTAAAATATTTTATAAATAAATAAAAAAATATACATAGACACACACCATACTCCACAGGGTGTTGTATGCTTTCTTTGAAGAAACATTTCTGATTATTATTTGTAATCGGTGTCAGTAGAGCTGTAATCACAGTCTGATGAAACCTCCAAAAGCACTCTTAGGCTTAGGATGTGTGTCCTGATAGCACGGGTTTCAAGAGAAGGCGTGTGTCTTCTTTTCTTTGACCTAGAAAGCCCTGAATTCTACAGAAGATGGTGAAACCAGTGGGTTGGCTGACTCCTCACACAGGACATCATGTAAGCATTCTCCGGGGTGATGGTGTTCTTCTGTTCTCCTGAAGCAGCCCCTACAAATAAACTTCCAGAGGGCCATTAGCTTGGGGTCATGCTGCTTCATTACCTGTAAGGCAAAACATCACACTTTATCAGTAAATGATATAATTATTACATATATATATATTAATAAAACTTCACATATTACATATCAAGTTCAACCTCGGCAGTCTCTGCTGCAGTGTCTATTGTGCCTCTGACACCCTGAATAATCATTAAGGAGATCCCATGTAATGCAATTATTTACATAGTGCCAACTTATTCTGCATCGCTGTACAATAGGAAACAAACATGTCATTCTAACAAAATATGTAAGAAACTGGAACATTAAGTGATGAGTGGGCTGCCCACAATCCCCTAATACTCACTGTACTAACAAAGTAAGGAAAATGGAAATACACTATACATTGAATTAAATGAATTATAAAGATCTTTAGGTGTTTTAACGATGTTAGATACACATTTCTGCTCCTCTCAGCTTCCGGGAAGACCCTCTAGGGTGGGGCCATGGGTTGCTAGAATTCCAGTTTTATGGGGGACAATTAATGTATTCCAAAAGCTGGCTGAACAGGCACAATACACAATATTTACATAAAGGCATTTATGATCTAGTTGTAACCAGGTCAAATCATCTTAATAAATCCAGACAGACAATGAATTTATGACCCCCCCCCCAGCCCAAAAAAAAAACACACCATACAAAAATCACTTTAAGCGAATTTCCCTTGATTGATAATGCCCACCAGTACATTGTAGGCCCCAGGTCTCAGGTTAACCGTCACCCACCTATCTCATATCTATAACTATGGACCAAGGGTCTGTTTAGCTCATGCGGGTTCCCATCTCTCGTTGTTTTCTCTGGGTTTTTTTTTCTTAGTTTTTTTCTAGCTCCCATAGGTGGTACTGGTGGAACATAACATTTAGCATGATATAAGTAGCCTCCGTCCCACTTAATATGGTGCCGAGCCTGATTATGTCTCACTAAGGTTACTTCTTTTATTTGTATACACCTGCATCTGAGCAAAATGTTAGCTAGCGACTGTTAAGCCTTAAGTATTAATGCTCAAATGTAGTCTATAGTGATGTATATACTACACAGAATTTGCGCAGTGAGGCATGTCTACTCAGTAAATCCTCTTATCGACATAACTACCTGTATAATCAGTTACATCACTCAGTGAAAGCTTATGTATGATCTACTTTATCCTGTTTCACAATATTTAATTTTCTTAAAAAATAGTGCAAAGTATTTCCATGCCATGCCTATGTTCCAATATATATATGGCAATGATTTGTCTGCTGACGCTGTCGTGGCATCGCATACTTGGTTGTAACTACCCGCACTGCAAAAATAAAGAATTTAAAAAAAAATAAAAATGTGCTGGTTTTAGAATGCCAAACTAATGCTCTTCAATGCTGTGTCATGATTCCGCTTGTCATTGTTGAATTATACAATAAAGAATAAAAAATAAATAAAAAAAGTCGGTCATAGTTACATAGCTGCGTCCATCAAGTTCAGCCTTCCTCACATAAGTTTTTGCTGTTGATCCAAAAGAAGGCAAAAACCCCAGTCTGAAGTGCTTCCAATTTTGCAACAAACTAGGAAAAAATTCCTTCTTGACCCCAAAATAGCAGTCAGATGTCTCCTTGGATCAAGCAGCTATTACCCCACTAATTAGAAATTA